AGGCATGCACTGTAATTTTCCGTGGGTGCTCTGTAAATAACATGCACAATGTGCTGCTTTGTCCAGGCCTCGACATCCCAAGCAGAGCTGAAGAGAGAGCAGAGACATAGTTTCCCTTGGCCGGCTGTGGGCAGCACTTTGGTTTCATTGAAAGTATGTGACTTTTACACCATGCTCTCTAGTAGTTGAATTCCCTGTACAGTGGCTGGGCAGTTAACAACAAGCACAGTTGGGATGCAGCTGCCACTACATCTGTGTGTAACTGCAGATGGGGGTGAAGGGGTTTAGATCCTTTCTCCCCAGGATTATATGTATCATTGTTAGACTAATTTCAAAGTGCTTTTGTTAATCTTTTGGGAAAGGTGTCCAGGACAGGGTGTTATAATGGTGTCTCTGTGTGAAACTAGGATGCCAAGAAGGTTTTTGTTGTTGTTGTTGTTGTTTATTAATGGACTTCTTATTGAGGAATTCAGGTCTACTTTGCCTAAGGAAATGGCACCTGGCTGCATCAGCATTTTGGTTGTAGTTCTGTGTATGGTGGAAACAGTTATTTCCCCTCATCTTTCTCTACATCAGTATTTAGACCTTTTTGGGAGACAAAAGAAAATAAGAAATGGAGATTTAAGGATGAAGTGGCAATTTTCAATTTGCTATAAGTAAATACTTAAGTTGAAAACTACAGAATCTTTGGTTTGTTGTTTTGGGTTTTTTTAATAGATAATTTTGGTTTCTTCCTAGTTGATGTTGCAGATGAGACAAACAGAAGTCTGGAAAATAATTTGTCTGTCCAGGTATGGCTCTGTGCTGGAGGTCTAAGTTATTACTCAGGCATTTCAGAATAATTCAGTCCAAATAGAACACTATTAATGTTTTTAAAGGAACTTGCAAATCTTTTGCATACTGAATGGATAACTTTTTTTTTTTTTTAAATACAGATGCAGACAGAGGGAATAGTTTTGTTAAAAAAGGTTGTTCCTTTATTTTAACAGGGAATTTATGTTTCCTGAACCATTGCAAAACCAATACTAAAATACTTTTCTTTCAGAAAACTTGAGAAAAATGGATTTGGGTCAGTCTGTTTTCTAGGGCCAATGTTATGTTTCTCAGTAGATACTGTCTTTCAAGAGTCAAAGTTCCATTCAGGGTAAATCTTTCTTCAGCTCCTCACGCTAATAGGCCTCAAATGAAAAGTCATACTGGGGTGTCTTCTGTCCTGTTGAAAAGTGTTGGAAGTTATTCAGTAGGGGGGCATACCTTTTTGCAGGCGTATCTAGTATTGTTCAGAGGTTAAAAAAGGAAAGAGTAAGTTTATCTACTTAAATTCTGTGTTCCAGAGAGACATTTTCCTTTTAGAAAAGATAGCTGGGAAGAGAGGAACCCAAACAATAGTTTATGATTGTTAAGGCCTCTGTGCAACTATGATCCTCCCACTG